AATGATGATAGTGTCAAAGGAATCGGGAAAGCACTAGTGTAGGGGATGGAACAGGAGTGCACGAGATGAGACTCCTTTGTTTTGGTGTTAAAATATTAGCTTAATATTCTGAATGGGTATCAAATGTTTTCTTAACAGATGGCATCTGAGAGAGAAGGCTCTGGAAGTTCTGGCACTGGGGAACAAAAGGAAGATCAAAAGGAGGAGAAACAGTAATAGTACATTGGATCCAAAAAGACCACATTCTATATGAAGCTTAGGAGTGAAGGCACTTCCTGAGCAGAAATGGGCAACCTTCAGTCTTTACTGTATTTTTGCAGTATTCAATATATAATTTCCTTGATATGTAAATTTAGTGACCATTAGCTGATGAACATTTAATGGGCAATAATTCTATGCAGTATAAAGTTCACAATGTTCTCTCCCTGGCCTGTTAATTTTCAGCTGCATGTGAAAGGGTTAGGGGTAGACGATTTACTAATCATTATAAAGACTTCCTGTTGGTTTGTGCTAAAGTGGCAATATTTTCAAGGTGTGAAACTATATCAAACACAATGAAGGAGATGCACCATAATAACCTGGAATGAGACCATAATGAGGATGAAGATCCTAGTTGGTCAAGAGCACTGCTGTAATAGCCGATGTGTACTCGGGGTCCTTCGGCTGAGGCCTTGAAGCACAAGAGAGCTAGCTGTGCTAAGGTTGTAGTAGGTGGGACAGAGGAAGCTGGTCAGTGGAAAACTAAGCTATTTATGTTAGGTAGCTTAAAATAAGGTAGTTCTTAAATCCCTAATGTTCCTAAGGCATACTTTTCTAGCTACCCTCTGGCCCATCTGGCACCTACATCCTTGAGATTGTTCTTTTTGATCCATTCTGGATTTTTTAAAAAATAAATATGAAAAACATCTTGATTTCTTGTTTTTATGGTGTGAGCTGCAGTTTAGCTTCAGGACTATGACATGTCACACTTTCCATATTTTCCAAGGAAGAAAACAGGATTTTCTAGCACTGGGTAAAGAGACGAACAAATCCAAAGATTCAGAAGGATCGGTATAAAAAGTCACAGGCAAATTTTAGATGTCTATTACAAAAACCAGGTCTTTTTATTCAGGTTGCTGTCAGCTTAGAAATGTATACAACCAAGCCTGGCTTACGTTGAAGAAACTGATATATAGTAGTCATAAGATGTATTTTGAGTGATTTCAAAAATAAGGAACCCAGATTCTTGATCTGTTTGTGCTTTCCCATCCTCAGTGTATTGGCTTGTCCCAAATTTCGATGTCACATGCCAATGACTTAAGTGATATTGTTCATATGTCTCATTAAGTAGAATTATTTCCCATGTCTCTGAACATACTTCTCTTTGAATTTCATGGATACTTAAGTAAACTTATACCATGTAACATAGCTCCTTTATAATTTAATGGTATTTAGAAATGTAGGGTTCTGTTGGGGGAGGTGTATTTTAGATAGGGGTCTCACTAAATTCCTAAGAGCCTCAGCGTCTTGTGATTACAGGCATGTACCACCATGCCTATCAGAAATTTCCATTTTTAAGGTCAATACAAGAAATCGGTTCAATGCCCTACTGTGGAGGAAGAGTGATTTCTACATTGCATAACTAGAAAATTCACTTGTCTACTTCGTAACACCCATGTGAAAATTATTAGGATTTGTGTGAGTTGATACTCAGGTTTTCAGCCACATGAACACTTGATAGGGACCTACAATGATTCTGTCATAAAAGATGGTTTGTTATGTTGGAAGATGCTTTTCTGATTGACCTCTGCTGTGTTCAGATCAGTATGGTAGCTAAACTGTTCTCTAAGATTTCCAAGTACCCTGACTGATAATTAATAGCATGTTTTAATCAAGGTTTACCCTTGAGACTGAAGCATGCCCTGAACAGAATCTGGGTTCTACTGGAAAGGGTACTTGAGTAGATGTCTATAGCTATTGTCTTAAGGTGCCCAGTGGGAGAAATAAAACACATTGAACTGTAATTCAGTTCTCTCTCAATCTAAGCTGTAATAGCATAAAAAATTTCATTAGGATTTCCCAGAGATATAAACTAATAGGATATTATATAGTCTGAGGCTCACTATAAGAAATTTGCTTATAATTATGGAGATCCAGAAATCCTATCTACTGTGTGCAAGCTGGAGAATACTAATGGTTTATCCAAGATGAATGCATCTGCTAAAGCAAGCAAAGAATTCCAATTTTCCTCTACCTTTTATATCCCATCAGGGCGCTTACTTTGATATTTCACACGTTGGAAAGAACACAATTTCCTCTACTTGAAAGTGTCTTGTTGTTATAAGTACTTGATGGGATCACAAGTGTAACTTGTAATTTTTCTGCTATTCCTTCCTTAAGTTGGTCTTTGCAGTACCAATGTATGTATATTTTTTTAAAGTTGCTCAAACCAAAACCTGCAGTCATCAAATCTTACCAAAGTATGTAAAGAATTACCATCTCTACTATTTTTATTGTAAATTACCTTGGATTACCCTGAGTTTTGACCAGTCTATCCACTTAAACCATTGCTATATTGGTACATTGGTATTTTCTCACAGCAGTGAGATGGCACTCCCCCCCCCCCCCAAGCTCTTCCTAAGGCCTACAGGCTTCACATCATGTGGCCCCTCATTACCACTTTACTCCTTTCTCCCAATTTTATCTTCTGGCTTTTATCCCTTGATGGAACAGTCTCAACATTTCCATTTGACTCACCTATCACTTTTTTGAGACAGAAATATAAAAATAGCCCCCCCTTCTCAAGTTTGTCATTTCCTATTCCTACTCTCCTCTTAGCATTTTTTACTATTCAATTTGTCCTTTCCCCACCTAAAATGTAAGCTACATTAACACCAAAAATTGTTCCTTGACAATGTATCTGCACCCAGAATAATTCCTAGCACATAAACACTAAAATATTTCAAAATACCTCTACTGTCCAAAATTCAGGGTGGCTTTACATTTCCATTTTAGAAATTAAAGCCTTTTGGTTATTGATTTATAAATTACATCCTTGTCTGCCAAACTCACAATGGGGGTGGGGGAGCTTATACCAAATTTAATTGATAATGTGCTGTGGATCAAATTTTTGTGTTCACGTATGCTTCTCTCCATCTCCAGGCCAAGATAAAAGGTGAATTTGGGTTCATTTTAAATTGGGGTCTTCCACATTGCCCAGGCTATTCTTATAATTTTATGAGCCCAGGTAATCCTTTCCCAGCCTCTGTAGTTGGAACTACAGGCATGTGTCACCATGGCCAACAAGATGAAAAGGCTCATCTCAAACTTGCAAGTCTCCTTTCTCAGCCTCCCAAATAGCTAAGGTTACACTTTAGCTGGGATTATTGGTGTGTGCCATTCTTTTTAAGTACCAAGGTTTGAACCCAGGGGGCCCTTAATCCCTGAGCCACATCTCCAGCATTTTTCCTTGAAACAGGGTCTCACCAAATTTCTTAGGGGCTCACTAAGTTGCTGAGGCTGGCCGTGAACTTGCAATCCTTCTGCCTCAGCCTCCTGAGCCATTGGGATTAAAGGTTTGCACCACCCTGCTCAGCCATATTATTTTCCCAAGAATGTATGAAATTAAAAAAAAAAATCAACTGAGGTAAATGGCATACATTTTTTTTTTTTAAGATCATACAAGGGAAGTCTGCATGGCTCATGAATGCACAAATGCCAGCTATGAGAGATTGAGGCTACAAGGTCCGTCTTTTTTCCTCTCTTGCCTGCTGCCCTTCTGTTTAGATTATGCAGCAGTGCTTCCCCCACCCCCATTTGGTGACACTGGGGATTGAACCCAGGACCTCATGATAGAAAAACGCTATATACCTGAGCTAAACCCAGAGCACTTTTAAAAATTTAGAACAGGGTTTCACTAAATTGCCCAGGCTGGCCTCAAACTTGTAATACTCCTGCTTCAACCTCTCTAGTAGCCAGGATTACATCACCACACTTGGTATCAGCAAGGTGGCTCTTGATTCTGGGATTTCTCCACATTGCAGAATTGAACCAATATATTCATAATAAATTACCCAGTCAGTATTGTAATAGCAGCACAAAGTGGACTGAGATAGGATTGCCATTTATTCTGGTCATTCCCATTCTGTGTGCTATCCAGAAAAACCTTGGGCCATGTATTTGGTTTTAATTTTCCAGGATATAGCCCCCCGCAAATTGCTGGGATTACAGGTGTGTGCCACTGCATCTTGCTGGGACTTACTGAAGTTGTAAGTGCCTTAGAGATAACCAAATCCACAGATACTTTTCAAACTATTTTTTTCCACTCTACCACTTCCACTCTACCACTGAGTATACCCCAGCCTCAATACAGAACTCTGGGGCTGGGGTCATAGCTCAGTGGTGGAGCACTTGTCTTGCATGGTGAGGCCGTGGGTTCGATCCTCATCACCACATAAAAATAAATAATAAAGGTATTGTGTCAACTACAACTAAATAAATAAATAAATAAGGTATTGTGTCAACTACAACTAAAAAACCTTAATAAAGGTTTTGTGTCCACCTACAAGTGAAAAAATATTTAAAAATTCTAAAAATATATAGAACTCTCTGGACAGGCATGGTGGTGCACGCCTGTAATCCCAGCAGCTCATGAGGGTGAGGTAGGAGGATGGAGTTCAAAGCCAGCTTCAGCAACGTTGAGGCGTTAAGCAACTCAGTGGTATCTCTTTCTAAATAAAATACAAAATAGGGCTGGGAGGGCGTTGGGGTTGTGGCTCAGTGATAGAGTGCTCACCTAGCACACGAAAGGCACTGGGTTCAAACCTCAGCACCACGTGAAAAAAAATGAAATAAAGATATTATGTCCATCTACAACTAAGAAATATTAAAAAAAAAAATAGGGCTGGGGATGTGGCTCTGTGATTGAGTGCCCCTGAGTTCAATCCCCAGTACCCCTCCCCTCAAAAAAATCTCTGATCAGGGGCAGAGCAGACAGACATATAACTATTAAGACACCCAAGGAAAATGTTGTTCATTTAATTTATATTAATGAAGAAATACAAATTCCATTTTTCTACACTCAACACAGAACACTTCTTTGGTCATGGTCAAATGGTGGGTTTTTTCCACACCAAGCACTTCAACTTTCTGCACACGAGCTGGGTATCCTATGATTCACTTTTAACTTCTGATATTATCAACCTGGAATTTGAGTCAAATCCCACAAGTTAATGGCTCTGCCTCATAAGATTATCCCCACTTCTGATGCCAATCACAAGTTCCAGATTGTGACCTGTTTTTGACTAAGTGACTATAAAATCAGGGATCCTTTAACCCTCCTTGCGTTTGGTAATTTGCTGTGGTGGTGGAACAGAGAATTCAGGGAAACTTTATTTCAATTTAGCCATTCATTATAAAGGATATTACAACAGATGCACATGGACAGCCAAATGAAGAAGTACACAAGAGCTGGTTCATGAGCGTCCTCTGAGTGCAGGAATTTCTATTCCTGTAGAGTTGGAGTACAGAATCTTCCTAGTTCAAGGATGCATTCACCAACCCAGAAACTCATCAAATCTGGGGCAGAAAATAAAGTTATGAGACTAAGATAAAGCAAATCCAAAGTATAATTCCTGGAGATTTGTTTATCCTGGTAGAAAGACGGAGTCTGTAGAATGGGTATGTAGGATCTTTCATCCTGCTAAGAGGCTGATGTGTTAACAACTGTTAGGAATTTAGAGCCTTTCAGAATTACAATTTAAAGTATTGGGTCTTTATATACCCTAGCTGTGGTATACGATGAAGTTTTCAGTTCCAGTGACAACTCTTGAATCCTTGGAATTTTCTGAGTTTCTTTTGTTGTTCATATGAGCCTCTTCAGATGGCCGCAGTTTATACTGAGTTTAAGCACTTAGGAGAGGGGCCCAAAGGAAACCTCTGGAGGGGCTGATCACGAGAAAGACCAGCTGGTTAGAGGGCTGGAACTTTCAGCCAATGCAAAGACCTCTGGGAAGAAAGGAGAGATTCTAGAGATGTGAGGGTCAGGGAGTAGGAGTAATAGGGATTGACCCAGGGTTACTCTATTACTGAGCTACATCCCCAGCCCTTTTTAAGACTGGGTCTTGCTAAGTGGCCCAGGCTGGCCTTGAACTTGCAGTCCTCCTGCCTCAGTATCCTGAGTAGCTGAGATTACAGATGTGCTGCAATATACCCAGATAAGTTCTATATAATCTATAGTAAGTTTTATAAAAACTCTTGAACAAGATTTGATAATCAAGAACAACTCCTTCATTATTCAGAGAATCAGAGGTTATATATTCTACTCTTACCATGTAGCAGTTTGAAAAATCAGCATCACTCTGACATCACAAGTTTCCTTCTCAACCCTAAATGATCATAGTTCCATTTTATTTTTTTTAATATTTTTTTTTAGTTCCACATAGTACCTTATTTTAATGTGGTGCTGAGGACTGAACCCAGGGCCTTGCACATGCTAGGCAAGTGCTCTACCACTGAGCCACAACCCCAGCAGCCCCCATCGTTCCATTTTAAAAGCCTTCACTTACTAGCTTCCCATTCCATTCCTTCCAAAATTCTCTCCTATCAGAGCCTTTGCCTCTAATGCATTGATATCCAAGTTTAAATGCAGAGATGGTGAATTTGCAGCAATAAGGCAAATGAGCTTTTGGGGATACAGTTGAACTGCCTGGAGCTGCAATACTGAAACACATTTCAAGAATTCAAAGGTTAGCCAGGCACGGTGGTGCACACCTATAATCCCAGCAGCTCGCAAGGCTGAGGCAGGAGGATCACAAGTTCAAAGCCAGCCTCAGCAATGTAAGGTGCTAAACAACTCAGTGAGACCCTGTTTCTAAATAAAATACAAAATAGGGCTGGGGATGTGGCTCAGTGGCCAAGCATCCCCAAGTTCAATCCCCAGTAACCGGCCCCCCCCAAAAAATTCAAAGGTTGACAAATACCAATTCCACCTGAGATGTGACCAGATGAAACCATGAGCTGGTCTAAAAAGCTTGGAAAGTCTTCAAAGGAACCTAAAGACACAATATAAACATAACAAAAGGAAGGCAAAGCAAGAAAACCTAATATAGAAAGTAGAAAGTAGGGTAAGGGAAATGAAATAGAGAAAAGCTTGGGACACAGTAGACCCTAGTCAGTAAACAGTATATTTAAGAAGACCTTACTGGGGCGGGGGTTGTGGCTCAGTGGCAGAGCGCTTGCCTAGTATGTGTGAGGCACTGGGCTTGATTCTCAGCATCACATTTAAATAAATAAAATAAAGGTCCACAGACAACTAAAAAAAAAAAGACCTTACTGCCAAGCACAGTGAATAACAGGCAGAGCTGGAGTACAATGTTATACAATGAGACACAACATACTAGAAATTAAAACAGAACCTAAAGAGATGCTTTTAGGGGGAAAGAAAACTTGCCCCATAGAAGTCTGTGTTCCCACCCTATGGAGAGATAGGTAATCAGATCATTGATATTATGCACTGAATAATGAATATGGAGCTGGGAAAGCACAAACTAGCTGAGTGACTGAGTGACCTTTTCACCTTTCTTTACCTCAATTTTCCCATGCATGAAATGGGGGTGACACTCCCATTTCCAAAGTGTAGACAAAGTTGAGAAAACATGCCAAAAGTATTTAAAGCCCAAATAAACGCAACTGCATGACTGACATCACTACTTAAACATCTTATAAGCAATCTCAAACTTAGCAGTAGTTATTTTGTGGTGCTGCGGATTGAACCACAGTCTCATACATGCTAGGAGAATGCTCTGGCGCTGAGCTGCAAGCCAGGCTCCAACCATTGTAAACTTAATAGAGCTAAGATGAAATTCTCAATTATCCCGGAGCAAAACCTGTTCTTCCTGTTTCCTACCTCAGTAAATGTCATAATTTCAGTACTCTATGGGAACCTTTCTTCCTTTCTTATCCAGGCCATATATGGGTCCAATCCATACAGATTAACCTCATATATACGGTATCGTTATTCATTCACTTCCATCTGCACTGCCGCCACCCTCTTCTAAGCTGCAGTACTGAAGCGACCAAAAGGGTCTATAGGTTTCTACTTTTGCCCTCTCCAATCCAAGCAAGGGCTCTAAAGTCTTTAAAATATTTAGAGAAAAAAGCCAAACAGCTTAAAAGGCCACTACGTGACCCCTTCCCCTGCTGCTTCCTCAAACCACACTCCCCAACCCATGCTCCAGCACTGGTTAATTTTGTAGTTCCTCAAATGTGCTATGCGCCTCGCTGACCAACTTCTATTCATCTTTTTCGCCTCATTTCAGAGTTGGATCTCCCATCATCCACACTCAGAGCCTTAAGTACAATTTATCTGTACAATTAGACTATTACACCAAGATATTAGAAGCCGGGCGCGGTGGCGCACACCTGTAATCCCATAGACTCGGGAGGGTGAGACAGGAGGATTTGCGAGTTCAAAGCCAGCCTCAGCAACTTGGCGAGCCACTTAGCAATTCAGCGAGACCCTGCCTCTAAATGAAATACAAAAAAGGGCTGGGACTGTGGTCCAGTAGTTGAGCACCCCTGGATTCAATCCCCGGTACCACCACCACCACCCCCCGCCAAAAAAAACCGAAAACGATTATAAACCAAACTAGACAGTAAATTCCAATAGGGTAGGCACTGTTACCTGTCTGATGCACTCCTGTATCCTCAGGAAAACAGAATGTAGCACACGGTCTGGGTTCAAATATTTGAATGAACCTGAGATGAGAGGGACCAAATGGCCAACTAAAAAAAGTTAGCTCAAATAGAAAAAAGTTCTAATATATACAGCTACCAATTTTGCTCCAGACCAAACATACATGGAGTCAAGACTAGACAGCTCAGACCAAACTATATACATGGAGTCAAGATACCGCACTCGTGCTTTCTTAAACCTCACACAATTCCAAGTCCAGAGTGAACCCATACAGAGCGACAAGGAACGTGCCTCCTTCGCCTCTGTGGATGAGGGTCCCCGACCAGCTAGTTCAGGCTCCTGATCCGGGCTCACTGGCCAGGATTCTGAACACTAGTCCTCGAAGCAGTGACGCACACAGGCCCAAACACTTCGTCAGCGAAGTCGCTTAGCCCGAGACGTTCCTTTGAGCCTTCTGAAGCAACACTGGACGTGCGCGTCGAGCCCCAAGCTCCTCTCTGGTGTCGCAGAGCTTCAGGTGCCTACCCTGTTCACTCAAGAAAAAGCAAAAGACGACAACCCCCGTGCCTCGCCCTTTAAGAGCCACCCCCATTGGAGCCTGGCGAAGCTCTAAGCAAATCGTCGCGAGAGCCGCTGGCTTCCGCCCGCTTCCTACTCTCTGCATGCCGGGACGGAAGAAACGCGGTACTTCCCGCCCCCTGCTTCTACCTCACAAGGCAGTGCGGCCGCAGCTGCAACCAATCTCCAGGACCGTTGTAGGCCGCGGCACAAAGGGCCAATGGAAAGTCGCGGCGCGCGCAGAGCTTCTCTTCATCAGAACCAGCCCCCTCCCTTCCGCCCGCCGCCTTCCACTCCGCCCCTGGCGGAGGAAGTGATATCACAGGCCCCATGTGAGCGGATTGCAACACATGCAGCTGCCTGGAGAGAGGGAGCCGGTGTCCTACGTCAGAGCCGCCGCCGCCGCGGAGCCGCCGCCGGGGAGGAGCAGCCGCTGCCGCCCAGGACTGGGCCTTTAGGTGAGACAGGGGAGGGAAAGGCCAGTGACCTATCTGGCGGGCCGCGCGGGGCGGAGAGAGGAGGGCCTTTCGGGGGTGGCAAGGAAGGGGGCCGCTCTGCCCCAGCGGCGGCGCTAACTCTGTGGTCTTGGTGTCTCCGGGCCCCGCCGGGCCGCTCTAGGGAGGAGGAGGCGAGAAGATGGCGGACGACCCCAGTGCTGCCGACAGGAACGTGGAGATCTGGAAGATCAAGAAGCTCATTAAGAGCTTGGAGGCGGCCCGCGGGTGAGCGCCGCGTCCGGCCCCCCCGTGCCCTCTTGGATCCCGGACCCCTCAGGATGGCCGCCCCCGCGCCGCATGGCCGGATGAGGAGAACCCGGCACTAGCCAACTCCCGCCTTCTGGACTTCTGGGTAGTAGCCTCTGACTCAGGGGCGAGGGTCGGAGCTGTTGGCCGGAGAAGGGGTCTTTCCCCCACTTGGGGGTAAGGGGCCTGCGCTCCCTGGGCTCAGACCATGCGACCCCCCCCTCGTGATAAGCCACTACTACTTTTGTACCCCTCTCAGGCCCTTAAGACCTGCTCCTCACTCTTCAGGCTCCAGGTGCTGACACCAGACTCGACTGCTTTTGGGGAAAAGTACTTGGCTTTCCTTTCCGAACGTCCTTCCCTGGTTTCCTCCCTTCACGTTCTTCAGCCAGGCCTTATTAAAATGGCCTCCCCCTCTTGGACTTTAAGGCCCGGGTGAAGTTTGGATGGGGCGAGAAGGAGAGGTGGACAGGGACATCCTCATTCTAGCTCCTTATGATTTCTGAGGGTCTCCCACCTCTCCCAGGATGAGTTCCTTCAAGTCCTCTAATTATCCTGGAGCTTCCTGGTTTCTAGCTGTTCCAGGACCCGCCTATAAACTGAAAATGCCAACGTGTGCAGCATGGGGGAGTGGGGGCTGCTTTTGGTTGACAAACCTATATGTGTATATCCAGGAGAATTCCGGATAGTGGGACTATTTGATATGGTCCATAATAATAGAGTTCCTGTTGACCTTCCGGTGGAACTTCTTATGATATCACTGGTAGAGGGTGCTTGTTGAAATTCAGAACTGAATTAAGTGAACTTCTTGTCTCCTGTTTTTAAGTTTTAGTAAGAAACTTTAGGTGTATCCATTCTGAGAAGAGTAAACTAGATTAAGATTAGCCTTTTTTTTTTTCTTTTTTTTTAATATTGCTCATTTGAGGAAGGTGCCAGAGTATTCCTGTTTCCTCACTTCCTGGCTTTCCCAGTCATAGAAAGTTTTTACTTACCGGAAGTGGCCCCCAAAAGTGGAACATTACATATTCTTAAATCTCTGCATTCTTAGATTAGCATAGTGGTTTTGTCCCAGGACTTTGGAAGTTGATTTCAGCACAAGAATTGGAGTTTCTGGTTTTCAGCTCATGCTTGTCATTGGCATTGCATTTGCAGTGATAGGATGAATATCAGATTTGCTTATTAATTTTTATGGGAATTTGTACCACAATAGAAGAAAAAAAATAATTCCCAAAATGTAAAAGAGTAATGTAGGTCATGAGCCATTATGATGCCAAGTACTTTTTTGTCACTAGGATTTTCTGTCATGTTACTTGAAGCCTTCAGTTGTATATTGATTTTTGTAGAGTGTTGTTTAAAGTATTTGTTCTTTTTGTTTGGAGGAAGATTCACATTATATTCTCTGAAGCAGTCTAAAATATGAATTTATTACTAATCGGCCTGTTGTCTGAGTGAAGTAACATTGATAATGCTGCTTAATAAGTAACAATATTCCTTTCTACTCTTTGATGAAGAAAGCTTATTCTTAAATTTGTTCCTAAGCATGTCACCTAGCCACTTGAAAGTTATAAGTATCTCCTTTTAAAGGTTTGAAGGCTTTACTAAACTCTTTGTTTAGTAAAGTTTGAAGCATGCTAAAAAATGAAGCTATTAGGCACAGCTCTTCTTCCAAGTGATAGTTTGAACATTTTAGACATGATTAAACTGTCTAAAATAGTAGGGACTCTTCCTCTAAACAGTGTGGTTAATGATCATGTCCTGTTTGCTTCTAGTCAGGCTTTGGTTGCATCTTGATTCCATGAAAACTTAAAATCTTAGCCATTTCTCATGTTGGTTAGGGAGTCAAGTTTGTTCTGTGACTCACAAGGTTCCTGGTATATGTCGTTTTCTCATGGGAAACAAAAATATTGTATTTTCAATTCTTTTTTGTGTTAAAGTCAAACTCTAGTTTTTCATAGTGTATAGTGAGAAATGTTTTTCTTCTTTACCTAAAGTTAAATATTTTAGGAGTAATTGTAATGAGCTATAAATACAAACTGAGTCAATCCATGTGTGCTGGTGTATGCGGGGCTACCGTGTAGCTTTCAGGAGAAAATGGGTTGTGTTAAAGCATGTTTATTAGCACAAGATGGTGAAATTTAGTGGTGGGTTAACAGAATGTAAAAATGACTTCTCCAACGGTATAGAATTCTGAACATGAGAATCAGGAATTAGTTCATTTTTAACATAGTTCTAAGATATGAGTGTTATTCTGAAATTTAGATAATAAATGATTATCTTTTGATATATGACCCAAACATAGTGTAGCTTAAAAAGAACCACCTGCAAGATGATACATTAGAACAGAATGAGGTATCTAGATAAAATAATTTATTGAGCACTTAGTATATTACACTGTTTTTAAAAATACATTGTATCATTCACAACAATAAATACTGCCACCATTTGATAGACAAGGAAACAGACTGAGAAGTTAGATAACTTGCAGTCCATAATGTCATAGAGTGATAATGTATAATAGTCCAGCACTTGAACCAGTGTGCTCTACTAGATATATTTTATGTTTTCCAAAATATGAAAGTCTGGATTTATTCAACATAATCTGAACTATAACAGACTGTGTTATGCCTGTGGAAGAACATTTATAAAGGCGACGTTTCTGAAATGGGAAACTTTGCTAACATTCTCATAGTATTATACTTAATCTGATTTTTTTAAGTTGGGTGGAACATACTTTATTTTGGTTTTATATAAGTATGATTGAATGTTAGTCTATATTGACAAGTAAAATAATAGCTCTTTTGCTAAACATAATCCTCACTTAAAGTTGATGGTAGTTTTTCCCTACTTATGATTGTTCCTGGTATATTCTTCACAGTTGGCGTATGAGGACAAATGTGTACATAGCCTGGGAATAGGGCCATGTGAGTTGAACCGTCCTTGGTTTCAAATAAGGAACTAAAGCAGGTGAACATGTCACAAGAAAGTTAGGTACGGATTTCTGGTTGTTTTTTCTGGTTGTTTTTGTTTCCCCTGATGTTTTCTAAGCAAGCAAGAGGTAGCCCCAGAAATGGTGTTGGAGGCTTTATAGTTTGTGTAATAAAATAACCAAAGCCTCATCTAATCAATGGTCATGAGGAATGTGACAAGGAAAAATATGGTGTTAGTTTGGGTTATGTCTGTAGATCTTAGAATATTTTTCACTTATCTTCATGAAGAAATCTTGCATATTTCAAGTATAAACTTATTGAGGCATAATTTGGTTTTTTTAATTCCTCAATATTCTTGGAGAGCTGATTTTTAACTAAAGTAATACCCTGGGCTGGGCGTTAGTTTAGCAGTAGAATACATGCATAGCATGCATAAGGCCCTGGGTTTGATACAATCCCCAGCACTGCCAAAAATTATAATACCCTTTAAGGGATACCTTGTAATCTTTCATATAGATAATTGAACTATTCAGTGTTTGGGTTTTTGTTTGTTTATTGTTTGTTTGTTTGTGCTGGGGATTGAACCCAGGGGTGCTAAATAACTGACCCACATTCCCAGCCCTTTTAATTTTTTGAGACAGGGTCTAGTAAGTCCTTAGGGCCTCACTAAGTTGCTGAGGTTGGTCTCAAATTGTGAAACTCCTGCCTCAGCCTCCCAAGCTGCTGGGATCAGGTTTTTAAAGAAGTTTTTGTTGTTTTGTGGTGGGGATTGATACACCCAGGGGATCAATCCTCCCACCTCAGCCTCTTTGAGTCGCTGTGATTATAGGCATGCACCACCACACCTGGCTTAACAAAGACTTCAGCTCTTCCTTCTGTATCCTAGAATCTCTGAGATTACAAGCAAGAGGACTTTTTTATCCTTGGTTCTTGCTCCTTCCATCTTCCACCCCCATCTCTGATGGGATAAAAGACCACTGAGAGAAAACTCAACAATTAGAATGTTTAAAAGTTTCTCCAAAAGAGATGAGACTTCAGAGGTCTTAGTGGCCCCAACTACCTATTTGACCTATAGCAAGTTATTCTTTCAAAGCTTTGGTTTTCACGCTTAACTATGAACAATATCTTGGATTAGGTGGTAATAGTCAATGTGATATGGGTTTAAAAGTCAAATACTACATTTATCCCATAGAGTGTTCTGCAAATGTTAATTCTCTCCTTTGTGTACACAAATACTGAGCCTTTAGAAATAGAAGCCAGGTACAGTTGCACAAGCCTGTAATCCCAGCTACTCAGGAGCCTAAGGACTGAGGATTGTAAATTTGAGGCCTGCTCTGGCTGCTTAGTGAGACCTTGTCTTTAAAAGGACTGGAGTTAAGTGCTGCGGCATGCCTGTTCAAAGCCAGCCCTA